ACCCTCAGTGTAGCGCCCGTACCAGACCGGGACCGGCAACGGGATCGCAACCCTCGGTGTTGCGCCCGCACCTCGCTCAGCCAGTGAGCAGCCGGTCTGTATGTGGGATCCGAACCCTCGGCGGGAGCGCCGCCACGCTCCCAAGCAGCGCACTGTAGCAGTGCGCCACTGGGCCAGCCCCAGCTAAATATTCTTAAATATCACGTTGGCATATATTCAAAATAAATATAGTTTTTACATATTAAACTGTAGTCATACTATTATTAATATTGTAAACTAAACCAGTCTCTTTCTTTTTATGAATATTCTATTTAGTGCCAACTTTTTCAAATGTTTAACTCCTATTAGAATGTCTAAACAAACAAACAAAAACAAATATTCTTAAAAGAGCTACAATAATAAATTCCTATCAGATTCTTCTTTGGCACTATTTATATCTTAATCAGAGTAACTTCTTAAAGGACATTAGGTGATTTTGTCACCCAGAGAGAAAAAGTATAGGTTTTCCATCATCTTGCAATAAAAGAAACGACAGGGTCTATAGTATGTGAGAAATAAACACAAGAGCATATTCTTTTTATTCTTCATGAATATAGTCTACTACGTGTCAACTACTTTTGTTTGGTCTCTTAAGTTTTTTTTAAAAAAAAGCACTTTTAACTTTCACTGATTAACACTCCAAGTATAGCTATGAAAGTTCAAGCACGGAAAAGACAAAGTAGATCTTCACTAAGACAGAGGTTAGAAACCCTTTCTTCCAAGGACTTACCAGCATTCTCTTCTCTGCTAGCTGCCGGCATACAGTGGCCACATCTTTGACATGTGTGGGGAACCTCTGTTGCCAGTGGTCCATGTTCGCTGACTTGTTGCTAAACTGCACTTTATCAAACATAATAGTCACAGCACTTTCCTCAAGCTTTTCAACTTCCCCGTATAAAACGGGAATTCTCAAAACAGTTGCCAGTGGTCCATGTTCGCTGACTTGTTGCTAAACTGCACTTTATCAAACATAACAGTCACAGCACTTTCCTCAAGCTTTTCAACTTCCCCGTATAAAACGGGAATTCTCAAAACAGCAGCTCCTAGAGATAAACAAAAACAGATAGTATTTAAAACCTGGTTGCTTCTTAAGTTTTAATGTAAAATAAGAGTGTGTGAATTTAAGCAATACCAAAGTGGAAACCTTGCCTTTCAATAAAAATATGCTAAAATTACATACCTCACCTATAATACTGTCAATTTAACATGTGCTAATTTAAATGTGATTCTAAACATTCTTAAATGTCTTCTGTCATTTGGGATATTTTTATATATACTTTCTACATTATTATGATCATTAAAAATAAAACCTATCCTGACAACTAAATGCAACAAATAATCCTTGATTGAATGATAGATTAAAAAATAAAAGCAATAGACATTTTTGGGAGAATTGGAAAAATTCCTATATAGATCGTGTATTTAAATACAGTACTATAGTAATGCTAAATTTCCCAAGTGTGAACTGCATTCTAATTATGTAAAGAACCTCCTTGCTGTTAAAAGATACATGGTGAAGTATTTTGGAATAAAATTCAACTAGTTACCAATGGGTTCAGCAAAAGTATATACATAAAACTGGTCAGAGTGCATTGTTATAACTCCAAGGTCAAGGGTTCAGATCCCTGTAATGGCCAGCCACAAAAAAAAATAAGTATGTATAAAACAAATGTGGCAAAATGTTAACAATTGGTGAATCAATGTGAAGGGTGAGTGTTCACATGATTCTTATAGCCATTGATTAAGGAATTTTGAGGTATTTAGATTTTTATATTGGTCCCTGCTTACAATAGTCTTTGGATAATTAACACTAACTGAAAGTCAAGCATTTTCTTTTAAAATTAGATTATTAGAGAAACAAACATAGATATTGCTATGACTTGAATGTTTTTGTCACCTCCAAAAATTCACACTACAACTTAATCCCCAATGTAACAGTGTCAGGAGGTAGGGGCTTTTGGGAGATGGTTAGACAGAAACCTCAGGAATAGATTAATGCAGTTATAAAAGGGCTTGACAAAGGCAGTTTGTCCCTTTTGGCCCTTCTGCTCTTTTGCCATATGAAGACACAGTGTTCCTCCCCTCTGGAAGATGCAACAAGAAAGCCCTCACTAGATGCTGGCGCCTTGTTCTTGGACTTCCCAGCCTACAGAACTTCGAGAAATACATTTCTGTTCTCTACAAATTACCTAGCCTGTAGCATTCTGTTATAGCAGCACAAAATGTACTGAGACAGAAATGAATTCAATGATTTCTGCAGGATAACTTATAACACAAAAAAACTAAAAAACTAAATGTCCACCTAAGTGTCCATTAGTATGGTATCCAATACTAGAGGCTGATCTCAAGGACATAATAGTCTCTAAGACAGTAGTTTTAGTGCAGGGGATCATTAAATTAAGTACTATGTAGCCACTTATATGATATCTCAGAGCTGGCTCCACATGTATTGAAATGCAAAGATGTGGGAGGAAAACACCAGGTTATGAAACAACATGCATACTTTAAAAAAAATATATACAAAAAATGCTTCCATATACAATCACACTTGGTTGTTACCAACCCTGAGGTAGCATTTAAGAGAATTTTCATTCCTTATAATTTAAAGTTCATTTAGCTTTATTTTCCACGAGGACATAATTTTTACATATGTATACTCCTATGCATATATGTATACTCGTATGTATATGTATACATAAACACACATACAGGAAAAAAGAAAAACCATACATATAACTGAATTCCTCGATCTAAGATATGATATTGCTCTGTATTTTTGAAAGTAGATTATAAAAACTTACACTGTATAATGTTTTCTATATACAAAAACGTATACATACACACAGTGAAAAAAGCCCGCAAGGACTCACAAAGTACTTATCCTTTAGTATTTAAAAAATTCCTTTCTTTTCTAACTACATTCTAATTTTTCTGTAATGATTTGTATTCTTGACTAATTTCTTAAAAATTAAAAACATATCATGAACAGGGGTGGCCAATTAGTGCAGTTATTTAGAGCCAGGTTTTAGAACACCAAGGTCAAGGGTTTGGTTCCCGTACCAGCCAGCAACCAAAAAAATAAAATAAATTAAAAAATGAAAACATCATAAACAAAAATAAGTCCTCAAAAAACAATCAGGGGCTAAAAAGATTATGTCTTACCTAAATTGTTCTCCAGGACAGCCTTTTCTCCTTCTAGTTTTGTTTTGCCATACAAATTTAGGGGAGTTGGTATGTCCTCTTCTCTGTAAGGTGGATTTGTTCCATCAAATACATAATCTGAGCTAATGTAAATGAGAAATGCTCCAATTGCAGCTACCAAAAAAAAAGAGAGAGAGAGAAAGTTTACTAAATTTTTACACATTACTCTTTAGGAATTTAGAATGGTTTATTCTTCATGACATATAAAAACCTCTCTCTCATAAGCAATCTATTAAACTTTAATCTTTAAAAACTCAATCATTTAATGTTTTATAAAGATTTTATAAAGTCATCATTACCTGCTTCCTTTGCTAAATTCCCAGAAGCATCTACATTAAGTTGAGAAGCAGCATCTGGCTGATTTTCTACAACATCTGGTCTTCTCTCTGCTGCACAATGTACTATGACATGGGGCTGGAGGTTAAGCGTGGATGCATTTTTAACCCAAAACAGATAACAGAGAAACAACAGCCTTCTTAGAGTAAGTTAACATAGAGAAAAATGTTTGTTAAATCAACAGTCTTTCAACTAAGAATAAATCACTGTAATTTTAAATGTAGTTTTTTCATGTTTTCCTTTCCCTTCATCCACCCCCAGGTTTAGTATATGCTCTAAAAAGGAAACAGCAATTTGATAATCAGACAAAAACATAAAACTCTGTGTTGACAACTGTGGTTCTTAATCAAAATAAACTTTGTTCCCTAAATTGGATAGGAGAAAAGAGCTATCATTTATGTAATTAATATGACCTAAAATGTATCATCTTGGGCAACACCACAGATTTACTCAATTAAAATCTCTGAAAGTGAAGCTGAGAACAATTTCTCCAATGGTTCTAAAGCAGGTGGCTCCTTGTACTACGCTTTTACAAAGACCCGAACTTTAAGATTTGATCAGAGGTAGAATAAAACTTAAATTTTTCTATAACTTTTTTATGACCATGACCAACAAGTTATTTAACCTCTTTGAGCTTGCTTTCTCAGCTCTAAACTGGGAATGATAATATCTATTTTGCAGTGTTGTAAAGTTTACAAATAACATTCAAAAAACATTTGCATAGACAGTGTTACTTAGGGACTGGCCAGTTAGCTAAGTTGGTTAGAACTTGGTGTTGTGATAATACCAAGATCAAGGGTTTGGATCCCCATACTGGCCAGCCACTAAAAAGGCACTCCATAAACATAAGCTTTTATAAAGTGCTTCATATTTCTGTCTTTGTCAACCTAATCTTTTAAAGGATTACATGTACTTTGCCATGCTAAAAAAAAAAAGTACACTATATAATATTGCCACTTAACAGGTTAAAGCTTTCGGGTACAGTAACTTCCTTGAGAGCAAGGACATTTTCTATATCATCCAGACAACTCTTAATATTGTTCATATATGTTAAAATAAACAGACTAAACCATACCTGAAAATCATGAATGATGTGATGAACTGCCTCAGAATCCAAAAGATTAACCTGTTCAAATTTTGGTCTTGCTCTCCTAAAACCACAGCCAACGGCATGCCAATTATTCTGCTGAAATTCTTTGTATACAGCTCTGCCAAGAAGCCCGGTGGCACCAGTAACCAGAACCCGCCTGCTGGGAATGTTAACTTCCTCCTAAAATGTAAAGGGGGAAAACCAGGATTATTTACTTTTAAAAATAATTCACTCAAAGAAATTAGTCACCATCACTGTTCACTAAGTACCTCAACTCTAAGTATTGCAGTTTTTAATTCTAGAGTTGTTAGAGCAAAGATTAATCAAACTACGTCAACAACCGTATCACTTAAGTTTTAATAATCTTACCCAAGAAAAAGATCTTAAGATGACAGTGCAAGGAATTACCTATACATTTAGATTTCCTATATTAATAATGGAAAATCTTATCTTTATGATTGATGATGCCCAAGTAATAAACGGCGACTTTACATTCTTCATTTTATAAAACAGTACAGTTCTAAGCTTTCTTATTTTATGGCCCAATTAAGGATTTGGGTTCTATCTGCCAATATGTAAGTTAATGCTTCTGGCCTTCAGTTTTTAAAAAAATATTTTTAATTAACACATAATTGTACACATTTATGGGGTACAACCTGCTATCTGGATACATGTATACAATATGTAATGATCAAATCAGGTGATTAGCAGATCTCCTTCAAAGTTTGTCATTTTTTTGTGATGGAAACATTCAAAATCCTCTCTTCTACCTATTTGAAATTATACAGTAAATTGTTGTTAATTATAGTCACCCTACAGTGCTACAGAACACTAGAACCTATTCCTTGTATCTAGCTGTTAATTTTTGCTGGTCTTCTGTTTAAATCTCAAATTTTCTTCCAAATCTCAATAATTTATTTATCACATTTTGATGGGTCCAAGTTAAGAGAACTAGTGAACATTTCAAAGGAATTTATGTGGAAAAAAATAAATTTGATCCTTACAACACTAATAATGCTTTCTAAGTTTAACCAAATTAGTAAATGTTCCTGAGATCTCTAAATTTATCTATTTAGGGAAAATTTGTTCTATTTTATGGAATAATGTGTTGCCTAATCCTAGAATTGTAATGCAGCCAATTGAAATCTTTAAATTTGTTGTAATCTTGTTCTTTGACAGTTGTGGTGACCAAAGAAGGCACCTGAAGGAGACTGCTGATGACCCCCAAAACCCCTCAAACAATATAGAAGGCGCTCTTGAATCCCTCTTTTTGAGGACCACTGTGTTCCTAATGGAGCTCTGAGAGTTAACAAAAACTGCTCTATCCTGCCCCTCCTCCTTCCTCCATCACATTTCCTTCCCCTTTCCCCTCTCCCCCCTCCCTCCCAAATGCTCAACAACATCATAGAACATAAAATAGAATGTAAATAATATTAATAAAATTACATTTTCTTTAAAAAAAAAAAAAAAAAAGAACTGCTGTTCTTATAAGCCAAAGCTGGACAACTTGATGTAGGTTTCAAGGAACAAGTCTTATGCCTGATGCCACAACCAGAGACATTCAAACTGCAAACTAGAATGAAAAGTTGCCAACATCATGTTGTGGACACCTCCCCCCCCCAGATCATTGGAACAAGATTTATCCTAAGGAGACTCTTACCTCTCTTTATTTTTCCTTACATATGCCTTTCTCTTTTATGTGGCAGAATGCTATAGTTAAAATTTCAAGATCAGTATCTCCTATGGTTAGTAACTTGCAAATGTTTGCTTCAACAAAGTCATGGGATGCTAGATTACCTACTAACTAAACAGGAAGGCATTTGTACAGTTGCTAACACTTCTTGCTGCACATGGATAAATACATAGACTAATAAACAGGCTACTCAGTAATGAACAGGCTATGAGATTAAAACGGGTAGACTCCTCATCTGTCTGTTCAATTTTGGTTGGTTTGGTTCATGGGAACCCTGGTTAAGGAGCATACTCCAAACTCTTGGTAATTAGCCTGGGGAGAGTAATAATAGTAACCTCCCTGGTGGTTTTTCTCAAAAGTTTTAAATGTCTTTGTGCAGCCATCCATTAAAAATCAAATGGTTTGTCAACTGGTCAAATGGCTGGGACCACCAAAACTCAAAGAAATGCATGATAATAAGTCACCCCTGCTAAGTTCCAAATCAGCAAATCTAAACGAAGTTGTGGTCTAGGCTACAGAGAAAGCAGAAGAGAGGTAATAGCCAATTTCCCAAACGGGCCAGTTTAAATCTTCTTTAGATATGATAATGAAGTTCCCTCTGCTTTAATTCTTACACTAAAGAGATAGCCTGAAGTAACCTGATGCTAATCAGTTATTTTTCTATTGTTCTGTCAACCTGTCCCCACTTTAAAAGGAAAGTAACTCTGAAATGACCAATCCGCTTTTTGTTCTCTGTTTCTGCTTTATTCAGCCTTTCTTGACCTATAAAATCAACTTCCTCTGCTTGGCTCATAGGAACACTTACTTACTCTATTTTATGGAATAACGTGTTGCCTGATTTTAGAATCGCAATAAAGCCAATTGAGAGCTTTAAAAAAATAAAACAGGAAAAAAAATATTTTAAACTGATCTGTGTTGCTATTGTGAAAAAGAAAAAAAATTCCATATACACAGAAATGAAAAGGAACCACTATTTAGGAAACAATTTAAATTCTATGTTTCCAAAGCACAGTTTCAAGAATTTTCCTTCTTCCCAAGACAGGTAACAAGAGTTCTCTCAAAGTCTCGAATAAAGCCAACTTTTAATATTAAATTTTTATCAACTTGAGGCTTTTCTTGGTTTTGTTATAGTCACCTAATCCTGAGCTGTCAAAAACTTTTAGATATGTACAGAATTACCAAAGATCTTTCTTTTTTTTTAGCTCTTAAATTACTCAGAATAAAAGGGGGTGGGTGGGGAGGAAGGACACCAAAATCTGGTATTTCTAACATAGGAAAACCTGAAATGACAGGTTGACAGGGAAAGACAATCAAGGTAAATCCTTAAACATTATTTTTCCTTAGTTCGACCAATTTCAAGAAACCTTTAAAAGTTGAAAGAAACTTTATTCAGGCTCTCTGTTGCAAAACTTGGCTCTAAACCAACTGATTTGTGAAAACAAGGATTTCAGCCAGCAAAATATTTTCTTCAAATTTTGGCAAAAAAGTCCCAGCTCTAAAAAATAAAACTACAAAGACATGCCAAGTCAAATAGATACAATCAAAACAATTTACACATGATAAATAACATAAAGATTTCTGGGAAAATACAATAAAAGATAGTATTTGGTTTCTTCTGAGTTTTTTTCCTTCATTCTATAGAAACAAATGAATAGGTAGCAGTAACTTAGGTCAGTGGTTCTCAGGCTCCAGTGTGGGTCAGAATCATCTGGAGGGCATAGATCAGGTAGGACTGCGGTGGGGCCCAATAATTTGCATTCCTAACAAGTTCCCAGCTGATGCCAATCACAGTGATTTGGGGACTGTACTTTGAAAACCACTGTAATCTTGAATTCCAGGAAAGTTCAAAGCTTTCATAAAGATCCATTTCTCTTACTCAAATAAAGCAAACATTTTCCATCAACTTTCTGGAAGTGACAGCAATCTCTCTCCCCCTCACAAAGTAAAACTAGAAACCAAAGGCAAAGTATTACGCAATCCACATAGGTTACTAAACAGTGAATTAAGATCTCTGCATACTTTATTATTCTGTAAAGCACACTTTTCCTCATTTTAACATCTCTGTTGAAGGAATGAAAAAGAGATGAATATTACGTGTCACAGTTTGCTGTATTTTTTGCTATCTTAGTGCATCTTAAAATAAGAGCCCAGATGATCTATAATCAAGACCATCTTTGACTTGGCGAAATGCAGTATTAAATTTCCAGAAGAACATGGCTCTTTTGGGAATATAATACACTTAAAAAAAAAAGGGGGGGGGGCTGGAGTTGAATGGAGAAAATGCAACTTTATATAACACACTGGGATAATGTGTAAGGTCCGTGGAAGAAAGTATGAAACAGTACACTGTACCCAGTAGTCAGATGTCAATATTCAAGAACTTTCTTTATTAAGAGTGGGAATCAGAAGTGCAAGCATTTACTGAGATGAAAATGATACAGCAAAACTTGATATCTGAAAACTATCAAGTGTTATATAAACATATACCTTCAGATTACAGAATAGCTTGTTAACTTGAGTCTCCTTGCTTCTAAGGTCAAGCCAAATACAATAAACTTTGTCTCAATCCTCTGAATTTATATTTGGTTTCATGAGTGATTAAAGTTTTATTTGCTCTGCCACAAACTGTGGCATTGAGAAATTACTCCATCTGTATAAATCTAATTCTTTGGTAAAATGAAACATTTGGACAAGGTGACTAAGTCTCTCCCACCTTTCAAGCTCTACAATTCTAATATTTTCCATGTTATCCTTATCACAAAGGGTCTGAACAGAGTGAAAAGAGCTTTATTTACTTAAATAAGTAAACTTCCTCTTTCACACAATGCTCTCTAGATACTCAAAGAGCACCTTTTGTCAATTACATAGGAGTAAAACCAAGATGTTTTTCATTTGGATTGTAAGTTTATTGGTGGTTGGCAAACAGAATATTTATCATGCTGAAATTAAAAGATATCAAACAAAAATCTCTATTTTTTAGTTTCTATATAAACAGAACACTGAACCTTTTTTTTTTTTTTTTTTTTAAAGATGACCAGTAAGGGGATCTTAACCCTTGACTTGGTG